TCCTTGGCATGCAAATCTCTGCTGGCCTGGTTTAGTCTCACAATACTGTAGCCAATCTGAATGAAGCTCAAAAACACCTGTGCTTTCTGAGGTGTGTGAAGAAATCATTATCTTCTCACTTCTCATTAACTTCTATCACAGCATCAGAGAAATTATTTGTGTAGTACTATCAAATAGTGCTGGGCAATATACCGGTTCATACCGGTGTTTATTTTTGTTATGATATGAATTTTTAAAATACCGCAATACTGGTATGTCACTTAAACAACGTTCGGAACGCGTCACTGTTTGAAAGGGGGATTCCCAATGCACACAAACTTCCCAGAATACTGAGTGCCCTGTTGGTTACAGTGTTTACTTCCTTTTTAATTCGATTTTTATTATTTATTTATTTGTGAAAAATGCTTTGTCTTCTAAAGTATAAGTATGTTTATTTTACACAATTATTTTTAATCCATTTTCAAATGATTTCAAATTTCTTAAATATAAATTAAAATAAATAAAATTATATCGGCTTTATATCGGCCACCCTGCTTTCCAAGACATCGGCATTGGCATCGGCTGTCAAAAAACCCATATCGGTCGACCACTAGGCTAATTATTTGTTCCATCCTATTTCTTGTTCTGTGTTTTTACAGTGTTGCGCTTTATAACCAATCACACAATCAGAAGCATTCAGATGAGTCATCGATGAAACAGCAGAGTTTTCATGGTTAAGGTTAGAAGGGATACAGCTGTGATACTGGGTATGTGCACATTATAGCGTAATTTCTGTCACGCTGAACAACAATAATTACTAGGGCTGGGTTGTGACACAAATTTCACGATTCGATTCGATTCTCATTCAGAAGCTTGCGATTCGATTCGATTACCAATTCGATTAGCTTCAATATCGATTATTTTGGATATATATAAGGTACAGTACATGCCAAATTTTCAAGGAAAAAAAATAATCTAATGCTGTAAAATATACATGAGAGTCAGTTGGTGCGACATTACTATAATATTGAAGGTTAAAACTGACTGATTTGTTAAAATTACACTTAATGAAGTTTTTAAAATAATAGTTACAATTACATAATAATATGTCTACTTCAATTTGTTTTTTTGAAATATAAACATAACAGCAGACGAGCTGAATGAGACGCAGATTCACTCTCTGCCAGCAGGCGGCGATTAAAGCGTTTTCTTGGTTTCTGCTGTAAACTCTCAACCGATTTGAATCGTCACATATTTGAATCGATTTTCAACTGGCTCGAGGTTAATCGTTACATCCCTAGTGGCTGTCATAAAAACTTGATAGATTTATTCAAACATAAATTAAACATTGAAGAACAGTAAAAATTATAATGAATATGTTATATGGTGCATATATTTAGCAAAATGCCCCTCTCTGCAGTTTAATTTTCTAGCTGACTAATGAGATTATGGTCACCGCATATGTTATTTTTCTGAGGTTAATGTGACGTTACGTGACATTGTTTACAAGCCGTTATATTGACGTGCGCCTCGCGCTGCCGCGTCTGTTGAACTGAGGGGCTACAGCGATCTGTCACTTCACTTTAAACAGCGCCAAAACGTCATTTATTGTTTAAATACTGCAATACAATGGACAGAATTTGAAATCTGATACTTTGTTTCATTTTAAAAGTACCAAAGCACAATGCTTATTGCGATATATTGGATGGGAAGTGCCCTTCAACGTTCCGTCCATTAACTGAAAACAGGCTAGACTAATCGATTCTTGGGATTTAAGAATCGATATCGTTCCGTAAAAATGAGAATCGATTAATGTCGAGATATCGATATTTTTTACCCAGCCCTAATAATTACTGTACTTGCATTATTGTAAGGTGTAGGTTTAGGGTTGGGGTAGGTGTAGACATTGTTAAAACACAATCTAATAGGTAGAAAATGTAATTTATTGTTGGTTTTCAGCCATAGCCATATCCCTTCTAGCAAAGTTTTGTTGTCTGTACTCATAAGTACAGACAAATAATGTCTTTTAAAAAGCAGAAACTTAAAGAATTCTTAACACTATTGACAATGTCAAGAAAGATTCATTCAGGTTTTAATTAGTTCTGGATGAAATGTGTTCTTAACAACCCTCCTCATGAGAACTATTCGGTTAACAGTCTGGAAGAGACTTCAGCTCTGTTATGGATTTAAAGCAATACTGAATTACTTTCCATCAACAAGAAACATCAATCTTGTTTCAAAAGCCAAACAATGACTCAAAGTAAAAAAAAAATTAAGACTCTTGTTTTCTCAATCTCAAATAAAATCACTAATGAATGCTTATACAAAAAGTCTAAAATATAGCATGTTGACTTACTAACTTTGGAGAAAACATGTATTTTTACTATGCTGCATTATATTTTTGTGTTGGGGGCTATTACTGTTTACTGGATGTAAAAATGTGACATTGCTGAGCGCTGCCACAGCTAAAAATCCCATTCCCCAAAGATTAAAGTTGCCTGAGGAATTCTGCGTAATTACAGAAACTGCTGCAGGGCTTTTACACTTATCATCTTTTATCATGGACTCGGTCATCATTTCAAGCATTATAGATTCACATTCTTCTACTGGCTTCATGGTTTATCACATCAGTTTGGGAAGAAGACCCAACATATAGTTTGCCACATAATTTCAATAAAAGACTTGATATTGAAAACACACACCAGAAAGCTTAATGGCAAGTGCATAATTAATGTCTCACTACAGTATTTTGAATTCCATACATTTGTTTCGTAGCGTTTGGAACAATTGTTTACAGACTCATGTGGTCTGAGTTCTGATGAAGCATCTCCCTTTTCTTCCCACCAGTCTGTAGTTCACAGATGTTAAAGTTACAAATGTACTGTAGGCTAGTTCCTGTTCCTCTTGTTCCTTTTATCACATTGGACGTGCGATTTCTGTCCTAAATTGGTTAATCAGATCATTCTTTTCTCATGATGGCAAATCATCAACTCAAATTTTTAAAACACCATCTGATATCAGTTTATTGAACAACAAATAATTCAACACCAAGATGCCCTTGGGATACACATACGGTTTTACTGATTAGGCTCATTTACCACAAGGGCAAAGTTCTCCAACTCATAAGGGAGACAAAATTATCCATGGTTCTGTAAGTATTTCCCCCCTTTCATTTTCCCCAATGGGATTTCAGAAAAATTCCCAATAAAGATGGCAATCAACTCAGAAACAATGGTACATTATAAGACTATTGACTTAATGTCTTTAAGTATACATATAATTATTTCACATATCTAAATATTGCAAAATATTAATATACAATTATATGCTCAACTCAATTATGTTATTTGCAATGCTTTATGGTGGGTGGTCACTGCTGAGGTCTTCTCATTTCCACAGAAACAATGACTTCTCTGATTGGTGGATCTCTCTTTTAGTTTATGTGTAGTGTAGTTTTTTTTAGTGGAAATTAAACATTTCAAATTTTAAAAAGGTTTGGATCACACTAACTTGCAGAGACTACAGAAGCATACCACTGCTAACAAGCTCGGAAAAATGGCAGGTCTGTCAATAAAGATTAATAGGTTATTGCTAACTGAGAAAATTAATGGGATGTTTCACCCAGAACCTTTGTGTTCTATAAAGTTTAATACACTTGTATTAAACCCAGAACATTCTAAACAATTTTCAAGACTTAAGACAGTTTGGAAAAAGAAATAAAGACCTTGTTATTTCCGTACTTATCAGGTTGAAAGAAGGTAGAGAACAGAAGACTAGGCAAAACAAATTTTGATAAAGCCAGCACCATCCTTTTAGTTTTAAGATTAGAGTCAACATTTGGGGTGCAAATAGTTGAAAAGAACCAATTTGCCCAAGCCACAACCCAAAAGGCACCACTTGTTTGAAAACACATGGAAATGGATCATGACTAAGAGTTCTGGTATTGTCAGCTGAATGTACAGTATCATTAGGGTGTTTAAAAATGGGGACATTATTCATACAGGTCTTTATAAACTGGTCAAACATGTTTAAATAGATCTGTTCTCTTCATCACACCTTTGTAACACCTTTGATCTAATCAACGAATTTATCCCAATAAGGACATCAGTTCTAATCTCATATGTATTCTGTAGTATCTAATTAGTGTATTCATCTGACCAATTCTCAATACATCATGCAACCGTATTTGACATAATTCAGAGGACTGATGTGACTGAATACTTCAAGTATATTCACGCAGCATAAACATGAAATATGTACTGATCACTCCATAACACCAGTTTAAAAGGCTGTGAATAACCTAAACCATACTTAGCTAAATCATTAGATTTAATGTCAATCCATCAAACAAGCCAACAAGTGACATTGGACTTTCTTTATGGGAAATGATACGCCATGTTCAGTCTATTTACTATAATTCATAACATAGCCTTAAAACTAAAGAATGATCTAACTGGAAATGAAACCAAGCAAAGGCGAACAAAACACAAGAGTGCTGGATGGCTAGTTCTGATCCAAGCAGGTTGAACACTCTGCAAGAGTAGCAAGTGAAATACACAGGTCCTGCTGGAAAGTGGGTGAAACAAAGTTCCCGCAGAGCTGAATACAACATCCTGGACCGAGCTGACTCTCAGCTGTCCTGTTGTGTCCATCACACCCCAAAGACCTCATGGTTAGCAGCTAGCTTGATGAAATATCGCACTCCAAAGTGCCCTTCCTTCTCTCCCCCGCCTCATCCACTGCCTCCACCAGCATCTCTCCACACTAAACTCCGCAAACTAACAACCAGTCCAGGACCACACTGGCTCCACGCTAGCCCAAGCTACTAGTTTACTTTGTTAGCATGCAACCCTACCGACGTAGTTCTAACTAGTATGAGAGCGAGTAAGTCAGCTGTTAAGACTATTCGCTAGTTCAGTCCACACGAGCCTCGGGACGCGTAGTATATGTGCAACTACACACAAATATAATCGATTAACTGCGTCTAAACGGAACCGAACGGTAAAATCGCCGACATTCACCTCGTAGAGTTCCTCCGTAGCCATCATGTCACGATAATCTTCGACGTTGTGGCAATCCGTGAGGATTGTAGACACTTTTTTCCTCCAGTTGCAGTTGTCTTTTTGGCCTCTCCTCCTTTTTCAGTTGGTCGGGTGAGATGTGCTTGACCCGCACCGAGGATCTCTTTGCTGTCTAGTTCTCGCACTCAACGTCTATCCAACAACATTATAGTTAGAATAAAGCGTTTCATTCCAGATTAAGTCCAAACGAGTACTTTTGTCGGTCCAGGCGGCGATTTTAGAGAGTGTTACCGTAAACTAGTCTGTAGGCAGTGCTGATTACGCGCTCGCCTGCTCTCAGTTCTGCCACACAGGAAGTCTCAATCGAACGCAGATTAGAGTCGAGATGAGTTAGTTTGCACTGCCTGCAACCCTCGTGATAGAGCTGTGGACGACGGTCATCTGTGTTTTGCAAATCTTTATCGGTGTTGATTTTGAGTGTTGGCCTAATGGAACATAACTGACGTAAATCCGCAATAGTTCAAACAATAATTCATAGTGTTAAGCGCCAGGTGAGTGTAGCCCATGACTGTCTAAAACATTTCCATGAATGCCGTGCACGCACATGAAGTTTTTTTTTTTTTACTTTTACAGATGTAAATGTCTTATTTTATTACTTATCTTTTTTTTTTGTATATTATATTTATTGTGGTATTTTTGCATTTTCAGACCCATAAACAGTACAATCACAAGACAGGACAAAACACAACTACACAAACAAGAAGGAAAAGAAAAAAACCTCCTTCAATTTAGCAGATAACCACATCACCAAGTAGAGGCAAAGGGGTTCAAAGCAACTTTTTGCACAATATGAAATCATAGACAAGGTGAAATAATATTGTACTAATAACAATTATAAAATAATAATAATAATAATAATAGGTAACAACCTAAGCCTTTTTAACCTCACAAGGGCATTACTTAAGGAAAATGACCATAGTGACAGAGAGCGAATAGATTTGCAACAGTGTCAACATTGTCGCTAATTTTGACAAATAATTGAGGAAAAGAAAAAGTCAAATACTGAAATGAAATTTAGAGAGAAAAAATCTGAACATATTAAGACTGACATGGAAATTAAAGAAAATAGCAATTACAAGAATAGAAAATTAAATTTCAGATAGTATCGCCGTTATTAGAAGTTTTTAACAGGTGATTGAAAAGAGGCCTCCAGGAAGCATCAAACTGATCTATATTTCCAGAAATACTATATCTAAGTCTTTCCACATGCAGGGTGGAGGAGAGTTCTGACAACCAAGTTTTGAATAGTGGCTTCGACTTTTTCTTCCACACGCAAAGAATAGATTTTTTTGCAATCATCATACCATACTGTATAGGCAGTCGGAAAGCATGGCTAAGACGCTGCAAGGAAGCTGACCAGCCAAGAACAGTAGTCGCATGATCTAAAGGAAGCTATTATTACTTATCTTTTTATTACATATTTAATAGTAGAGATTAATAAAATGTAATTATTGAGCAATATGGACAGCCCAAATCAAGATGTTAATTATTTTGTAATTTATATATTGTCAAGTTGGACTTTAAAAGATGCCAAAGATCCGATCTGAACATTAGGTAAGGGATAATCACAAAAAACAGACAGGATGATTGGCCTCACTATTTCTTGGCTACTATCAATAAATCAGTGAAATAATTGAAATTAGTTGAAATTGTGATTGTTGTTTCCAAGAGGAGAGTTATACAGCGTTATACAGAGGTATTTAGCCGCTAAATGTAATCTTTGACAATCAGAATAAAATATTATAGAGAGCCATGTACTGTAAATTCAATGTTTCCTTTCCATTTTACACGTACTGTAAATTCTCCAACAACTTTCTTGAAGTAGGCTACTGGAACTGCCTAATGAGATAAGTATAAAACTTTCCAAGTTCTTTCAGAAGACCTCAGAAAATAAAGGACTACAAAATTGAAACAATCATGAGGTAGGCCTATGCTGAATAATCAGAAAACAAACTCCGAAAAGTTTGGGGAACACCATAAAGATAAAAACAGTAGTATTCAGATAAACATCCTCTTGGTAAAGTAGCATAAAAGGCATTAAGTAATGTTAAAATAGAAATATGAAATTCTAATGTATTTTCCAGATTTTGGTTGTTTTTATATTAACCAAATGATCAAAATTATGTCTCAAGTACATACATATTCACAAACCTGTTATTCTTGCATCTTTCCTTGCGGACATGGGAGTTAAATGGTATTTTAAAATGGAGTGGTGTTGTCAACTGAACGGAGAATAGTTCAGCAGATGCCAAAAGAGAACAAGGAAGTAGGTGAAAGAGCAGAGTAGAAATGTTACAATACACTTTTCAATGGTCCCCTTCAATATTACTTGATCTTTACTAATGTTTGGTGGTATTACAGTGGTTAAGATGAAGCTACAGTACATGCCTTTTATGGGGAGCATTATTCCAGTGTTGGGTCTTTTACCAGGACTAGTATTTGTTTGTTTTAAATCTGTATAGCTTTTATTCAGTTTAGGGATCAGTGCCACAAGGGCTCCAATCACCACCACAATGGGTTCTGACTGTTCACATGTTGTAGTCTGACATTTGTCTGTGTTGATTTTTGTTAAGTCTTTTGTGTTTTTCCTTAGTCCTGCCATTTCCAGCCAATGGTAAGATTTCCCACATTCAGTCATCACTTTTATCTGGCAGTAGCATGCATGGCTGTAGTTTGAGCCTCAGACAGCACGCCCATTGTTGTTTACGCTGAATGACGACAGCTTTCCAAAACTGCAAGATCCAATCTTATTAATGGCTTTGATTCGGTTTTAGGGAGACATGGTACCATTCTGCTATGATGAGCACTTATGAGGAAGAACATGAAAGTTTATTAGATACATCACTTTAAATCTTTGAGAGATATTCAAAATTTTGTTAGTTTACAACTACCTAATTTCTCAATGCACTCTGTCTTTATTTGTGTATTTCTGTGTACGCTTATCTTGTACAAGATATGCCTTAGTGCTTCTATCCTTGAGGGCCAGTCTGGTGGGATAATAAAATATTATGAATGGTTGTTAATAATGCCTGTTGAGTAATTTAAAGATGATTTATTTGGATATGGAAAATGGATAATGGAAAAATGGATAATGCTGTACAGACGACATCTTGCCCAGATAACAAAATTCCTAAAGGCCCAGATCAGGCCCACACCTGACACTTTCATCTGGCCCACATACCACGTGGAATGATGGCAATTGGGCGGTCCGCTCCTGTTTGCCAGATTTGGGCCACAAGCAAGCCAAAAGAAGGCCCAATGTCAGCCATGAATAAACCAAATAAAGCAGAACTGGCCCAAATCTGGGCCACATTGATTTGAATTCTGGCCCAGATCCAACACCTTGCTCCGGCTCACATACTGTGAAGAATGATGACACTTGGGCGATCCACTCCTGTTTGCCAGATTTGGGCCACAAGCAAGCCAA